GCAACGAAAAGACACAGCACACGCGTGCTCGACAGTAAAAGAACAGACAAAACACTGCTCCCGCCATAGCCAAAACTCCCCCTTATGAAAACGACAGCCGATAAGACAATACCCCATGGGCCGATACACATACAGACAAAAGAACAACTGTACAACACTGAGTCCTCGACAGCCATATCCATGCACACACTTACCAGATGCAATTATACCACGACTCACCCAAAATTTCAGCGCAACCCACACCCTGATGCTCCGTACCTATCAAACATCACTAAGTGATTACCCCCCCCTAGGCCCCTCACTTCTTGTTAAAACAACACACGCCACCCTCACCCTCGCATAACTTTGAACGGCGCAACACGACGCTTAAAACCCACAATAACTCGGGTACACCACATACACCCCTCATAACTGGGCTTCAAAATCCGCCAAAATGGATCTCCTGCCCCTACCCCCAACCTACCTTACCTTTCGTATACCGTCCTTATACACTTTAGTTTCCGATCATATACTAATCCCCCGCAGGTTGCACACCCTCTTTATTATGCATCATATATTCAAGAGATATAGCTTTTTCCATAACCGCTGGCGTCCCCGTGCACTAGCACATGAGTTCTCGCCTGCATGACATGCTCCTCTACCTCCTTCACGGCACAACTGTTCCTCCGGTTCGGAGAGCTGTTCGCCTAGCAGTTCCTGCTTCTGGCGTCGGTGAGAAGTACGTCCGTTCACCGGACGCTCAGCTTACGCTGAATAGCGATCTGACGTTTCACTACGCAAGCGCACACAGTGCTATAGCGGTGACTGATCCTCAAGCTGCACCGATCTTGACCTCTCAGGTAAGGATTTCTAACCTTGGTCTACCTTCTGCACACTCTCCACCTTCTATCCCGTGCTTCCCTGCTCTCCCGAAGCGACCTTTTTTCTTTCTTCCCCAATACTGCTAACCGGAGCTAACACTAATCCCTCTGATGAGCTGCTATGGGTGCTAGGCAGCGAAAAGCGCGCTTAAGGGCGTGCACCCCCCTTACGATTGGGATTTGTCCCTCTCCTAACATCTAACCTACTAACACTAATTACTAATCCCACCATGCTCCTTAAAATAACTCCCCCAACTCCTTTCTTTGCCCCCCCTCCTTCCCCCCCCGTTTATCTAATGATTTTGGATGTCATTCGAGTCTCCCTGCATAATGCACATGCAGACTAACTACTAATGGGATCTTCGTGAGCTCCACCGCAGATTTCCCACGCCACGTGGGATGGGCACCTGCTGGAAACCGGGTCCAGCGTCCCATGAACATCGTGAATAAAGCACCAACCGGGACCCCACACACACTCTCTTCGAGTTGTGTATAGTGAACAAAACAAAACATACATACAGCATAATCACTACCTTACCCTTCCCGAACCACATAAACAAACGAACTATGGGCTGCACACCCGTGCCCTCACCGTAAGTCAATCCAGCCTCCTGATGCACATCCTTCCCTGGCACTCGCCCCCACACCCCTCACAACCATTTTGATAAGGCTTTCTGCAGGCGTAAGTCTGTAAGCTAAGCTGGCTGATGCTGTCAGTATTCCAGGTCGATTTTTTTTGTTTTTTTTTTCCAGGTCGAATTGTGAGGTCCCCGGCCTCCCTTTTTAGGGGGAGGGGGCTGGGGGTGGAGGGGGGGAAAGCATGGCCACGTCTCCTTTTCGGTTTGAAGGGGGCAGGCGTCAACTAGCATTCGAACATAACAGTTACATGTGTGTACCATCTAGCCACATGGGCCAAGTCAGAAATTGATTGTTGGTTCGGGACTCCCCACGCGTGCAACCGAAACCTTCCTCTTCCTCTCTGCCTGGTGCCGTCTCCTCCCCTTGGGGCTGCGTTCTCCACGCCGCCTCGGTTTTCCCATGCGCATTCGCATTCTGAGAGCCAGTTGTTGTTTGCGTCAGCAAATGCAAATAGAACAGGGAAAAATGGTGATCTACCTCAGCGGAACCAGACCCAAATGTTCCTCTCTACCGCGGATGGCACGTCAACGGCCTACCTTAGCCGACCAGATTCAAATGTTCCTTTGCTCACCGCGGTGGCATAGCATACAGTCCCGACCAGATTCAAATGTTCCTTTTTCTTACCTCGGCCGCATAACACAGGGCCTCGGTTCACTACTGTGCAAAATCTTTCCCAGAACAAAAAAAAAAAACAAAAAACAAAAAAAAACAAAAAAAAAAACTGTGCAAAATGAGATGAATCTTCCTCTAGACAATGGAGCGATACACCGCCATATTTGTTGTCTTATGTGCATTGGGTGAGTAGTGGAGCGAGGCCCATGGCATCCCGCCGATCGGCGGGGGAGGGGGAACGCGGAGCCGATCGGCGCGGGGACGAGGGCTTGCTTCCACCGCGCAAACTCGTTTTTTATCAATTGCGCCGCGCGAGGCGCGCCCGCGCCTGCTGTTTTGTTTTTTTGCTAAAAGGGGCCCTTTAGGGCTTCATTATAACAAGAAACTTGAGGCCGGGAAACCCTCAACAAGACAAACCGGTAGAACAACAGTTACTGGCGGCACAGCCCAGCTCAGATGTAGGCGTTGGGAATAATGTCTAGGGATCCACAACCCTTGACGCTGTTTTTGTCTTACTGTCGTAAAAGTTTTACGCCCGGAAAAGAGGTCGCTGCTGTTTCTCTTGTAGCCGAGTAGTTTTCCCGCCGATCCGGCTGTCGTGGCTTTTGGTCCCACCGGCGCGCCCACAAAGGGCGCAGCGCGCTTCTCAAAAGTTGGGTCGTTGTTGAAAATCGCGGGAAGCAGGGTACGGCCGTCCGCCCAGCGTTGCGTACCCTCCCGGTGCAAAGCGCGGGCAAGCGGCTGAGCGGCGACGAGCGAAGGCGAGGACTGCGGGGGTCGACGCGGGGAGCAGACACGGCGGGTCGGCATCTCCGATGGAGAGGCAAGCGCTGAGCGCGATGGTTGGAGGGAATGGACTCAAGCTCGGCGGCGCATGCGCCGCTGCGCGGACACTAATATACTCGGCGCGCACGATCTGGAGCCAGAGCAGTAGTAGCATTTCTGGATCCTCGTCATCGTTACCATCTCGTCGATGGGCCGTGTACTTAGTCTCCTACGCGCGCGGACACAGTGACACGACGGCACGTGTCAGCAGCTCCTCGTCCTCTGATTCCCTGCCTTCGATACCTGGTGGCTTTCGCGGACTGCGCGCCGCGCCGCTGAAAACCGGCGCCGGCGCGCAGCGATGCGCCGGTGCTGACATTGGTGCCGATGAGGACCACTTTTTCGACCGCAGGCCATCGTGGGGTCGGTTGTCGTCACGATCTCCGAGGGGCTGTCGCCGGGATCGGCGATCGGGTGGTGGTGGGTGGATTAGATGCCACGTGTCGTCCTCTGGGCATTCCGCCGGCGATGGCGCCACTAATGGCGCCTCCTCCTCGTCAAGCAGCTCTCAGGAGACAAACTACGATTACGATGTCCTGACAATTGGAGCTGGGAGTGGGGGTGTCCGAGCCTCCCGCTTCGTTGCTGGCTTTGGCGCCAAGGTGGCTGTCTGCGAGCTGCCGTTCGCTCTCACATCAAGCGATAGCAAGGGCGGCGTCGGAGGCACGTAAGTACTTGTATTTATTATTATTATTATTATTATTATTATTATTATTATTATTATTATTGTTATTGTATTATGCTAATCGCTAGTAATTATGATGATTGCCACGTACTCTTTGATAGCAATGATGTAACTGTGCGGGTGTTGGTGGGTTGATGCACGCAGTTGTCTTTCCTCTCCACGAGAACTGATATTCCCTCTCCCTCCTCCTCCTCCTCCTCCTTCTCCCCTGCTTTTACCAGAGTTCTGTCGTATATCTTTTCATTCATAATAGTAATAATGGATGGATGAGAGCATAAACTTATGGATAAGGAGTAAAAGCCAGGTGAAATGGGTCCGCGAAGTTTGTAGGGGCGACATTGCCCCTTTTATTGGAATGCACTTGGACGTGCTAAAGGTCAGGTGCAGCATCTGCATCCGGATTTTTGCCTGGCGTTGCGCGCTCCAATGGGCATTCCGGCCGTTGCGAATTTCTCGCGCCGGAACGATTATCACGGGGCGCGGCCCTCCAGCGCAAGGTTGGCACGCACGCGCAAATCGAGAAATTCATTTGTCGATGGGTGGGAGTTCCCCATAAGCGCGCACGCGCGCATTACTGTATATGTACACGATTGGATAAATGGATAAGGGCCTCGCTGCACCACTCACCAAATGTGCAAAATGAGAATGAATCTTCCCCCAGAACATGGGAAGATACACCGCCATTTTTTTCTTAATCGTTTGTGCATATGGTGAGTAGTGGAGGGAGGACCCTAAAGTGTGGTTGTACCGTAAAATAGATAAGTGTGTATATAGACTAAACGTTGATCTGGTCCTTCGGGAAAGATAGTCCGTTAAAAGTGGAACGATACAGAGAAGATTAGCGTGGCCCCTGCGAATGGATGAAACGCATAAATCGAGAAATGGTTCAAAGTTAAAAATAGAAAATAAATCTAAATTAGGAAAAACGTTAACCTGGCAATAATTGGATAGGCCACCACGTGGCAAAATCTCCCCGCGAATATGGATCGGACAGAGGGATGATTGCGATTTTGCCGATCGTCGTCTTCCCGCGAACACGACGCACGTTAATTAATGTATATGTATATGAACTATCTTTCCGGTCTGATACAGTAATGGTGAGGCTGCGTTGTGGTCGATGTATACAAGCTATTTTTCCGGTGCGATACAGTAACGGTGAGGCTGCCTTGTGTTAGGGGAAAGAGTAGCAGCTATGTGTTATGCGAGATTTAACTTCATTAAAGTCGCAGGGTCCTCGCTGAACTACCGTCTTCCCCCGAACACAACGCACCCTGATTATGAATGTATACAGGCTATCTTTCCAGTCCGATACGTTCACAACGAGTATGGGTTCTGTGCGCAGGAAGTCCGTACCGGAAGTTTACCAAGGCAGCGCCGACTATCAGTACCCGATCGTTCTCCCATCTCCACTGCTTAAAGCCATATTCACACAAAATTTTCCGAATGGATCTGGCCGTGATTCCGTCTTATACATCCGGGAAAATCCCAGTCTGGGTGATATCGGCTGTGCTGTGAAAAAAAAACTGCTTTCACATTCCGGATGTCTGAGATAAGAGCGTCTTGCATGTCGAGATTCTGCCCCCCCGTCCCCCTCCCCCTCCCCCTCCCCCCCTTCCCCCTTTCTGTTTTTTAAATTCACATCTCCAGTCTATTGGCGGGGAGCAGCACGTGCTGGGGAACGGGCCCAATGCCCGTTACGACGAAAGTTGAGAGCCGTCCAATTGACAATTGATAGCCACATCAAGTTTGATGAGACAGTTGGGAATCGACGAATCGACGAATCGACGATTGATATTTATTAAACGTGTAATGAGACATCAAGCGGATTCGTCTCCGGATCCTTTTCCACCACCAGGATCAGGAATTTTCTGAGCAGAGGCATCATGCGTCGGCCAGACTGAGAGCCAGCAAGGTATGCATGAAAGTAGTTTGACAGGATGACGTCAGTAGAAAGGCAAGCTGAAGAGGGAGGCAGATCGAGTCCACGTGGTTCAACCTTTTAATTCGTTTCAGAGGAAGAGGATCTCCATTTTTGTTTTTTTTTGTTTTAGGGCGAGCGACGGCCTCGAGATATCATTGTCGAACGGACCGACCCCAGGTTATGCAGAATCTGTTGATTTTATCCATCTGGTTCCCATCTGGAGTCGCATTCAGATCTGTTTCAACAGTGCATTGGTTTACCAACTGAGCTAGAGCAGTTGGTGAGGAAGTGGATCGCAGTTAATCCTCTTTTCTTCCTCCTCCCCCCCCCCCCCCCCCCCCCCCCCCCCCCCCCCCCCCCCCCCCTTCCCTCCCTCATCCATAAATCCAAGAATTTCACCTCTGACAATGGAGTACGCATGCCTTCAATCGTCCGTCTCTATTAATCCTCTTTCTAGTCCACGGTTCAATATCTTTATTAGTATTCGTTTCAGAGGAAAGAGGACGTCATCACTTAATCCTCGGGCTAGATGAAGAGGAGCTCAGTCACGCGAAGGGTTAATCCTCAAGCCAGATGAACTGAGATTAACTGAGATCCTCTTCGTCTGGCCTGGGGATTAACCGATATCCTCTTCAACTGGCTTGGTGATTAACCCTTCGAGTGAGGAATAACCCTCCGAGAGGGTTAATAATCCCCAAGCCAGATGAACCGAGATTAACTGAGATCCTCTTCGTCCGGCCTGGGGATTAACTGAGATCCTCTTCATCTGGCTTGGGGATTAACCCTTCGAGTGGGGAATAACCCTCGGAGAGGGTTAGTCGCCAAGCCAGATGAAGAGGATCTCAGTTAACTCGGAGGCGTGGGGAATAACCCTCCGATTAACTGCTATTAACTGCGATTAACTGCGATTAACTGAGATAAACTGAGATCCGCCTTCGTCTGGCCTGGGGATTAACTGATGAGGTCCTCTTTTGTCTGAAGTGAATGAAAAGGTTGAACCCCGTGGACTCGATCTGCCTCCCTCTTCAGCTTGCCTTTCTACTAACGTCGTCATGCCGTCAGACTTGCATGCATGGCTTGCTGGCTAATCAGTCTGGCCGAAGCATGATGCCTCTGCTAAAGAAACTCCTGATGGTTGTGTTGGAAAAGGATCTAGAGACGACTCCGCTGGTCTCGTTGGAAATGAAATTTCAATCATAGTCCAAGCATGGAACGCTAGATGAGCCCCTCCCCTTGGACGTTTGTCACATCCCCATTGACTCCTTCTGCAATGTAACTCTTTTGTGGGGACACCGAGCCATTCTTTAGTGAATTCAGTAGAAGCATGCAATCAAGAAGAGAGAAGGGAGACAAAGACAGTAGAAGCATGCAATCAAGAAGAGAGAAGGGGGACAAAGACAGTAGAAGCATGCCTTCAAGAAGAGAGAAGGGGGACAAAGACAGTAGAAGATGCAGTCCCATGCCAGTCTAGATGTGGATGCTTATGCAGGTTGCCACTTGGCATACCCTTCTCGTCTCTTCCTTGCCTCTCTCTGTACATTGCAACTCTGGTCGGCCAGATGGGCACTTCTTTTACCACAAGGGGGGTGGAAGGAGAGTTGGGGGGGGAGGTTAAACCACCAGCACAGCCGGGCCTGGAGGTGCTCCACACTGCGAGCCGAGCTTCGCCAAACCGCCAGCCGGGCACTTCTTTTTCTGTTTTCGCATTGTGGTCCAGTAGTTTTGGAGTAGGTGACGAAACTTCAAGGCTGGGGCAGGGGAGGTGTGGTACTGGCGGTTTAAGAGAGTTACATGCTTGCTTGCTTACTTAATGGCTGGTGAAGTCTGCCAGGTGGGGAGGAGATCTTTGTAGGGCGTTATCTCTGACACTAAGGTCCCTCTTGAATGCTCCCGTTTTCATGCGGATATAATGCACAGGTCCATATTCAGTGAATAGCCTTGTGCCAGTAGTTCATCGTGGTCAACGGCTGTGTGCCATGGCACATTTGCGACTGTCTTCCTATCTGGCCAACCCGACAAGCTCCTCTCTCTGTCGTCTCTCCCCTCTCCCTTCTTCACTCTCCCCTCTCCCTTCTGCTCTCTCTCCTTTGTCTCACCCTTTCACTCCCCTTTCATCTCCCTCTCTGCTTCCATTCTCGTTCTCCCTCTCTCTTTTACTCTCGCCGCCCCCCCCCCCCCTCACCTACAACCCCCATTTTCCCATTTGTTTTGGGCCTTTTTCTCCCTTCTTTCCCTCTTTTACCACATGTTCCCCCTTACCCTCCCCTCCAACCTACTCACCCACCCTCCATTTATTTTCCTTTCAATAACAATGACCTTGTGGCTGTGGCTTCATTCTATTCTGGGGAGCAGCAGTCCAGTTCCTCTCCTGTGGCAGGTCAACACAAATACGAAGTCAAAGAACACTGGGCTGTGACAACACTGATCAGTCCCTCACGGGAGGATTGACAGGGCAACACACATACGAAGAAAAAAGCACATTGGGCTGCCACAACATTGATCGGAAAGAAAAGAGGGGAAGATTGACTGTCAAGAGATTTCTGAGTTCTCTTTTTTTGCTGCTCCCTTGTGTAGAGAAACTTGCGCCCATCTGCATGCATTCCTTGTTCCCAAGCTCTGCAATTCTTTTTTGTCGCATGTGATCATATATCTTGCAAATGCCTCTGTGGTCTTTCCCTAGCTCATCTGGAAGTGTCTAAACTTTCTCTGCCGCTTTTCCTCAGTGTCGTCTTCCCAGACTCGGTTGGTTTCATCCATTACTGCTCTCTCTCTCTCTCTCTCTCTCTCTCGTGCGCGCACGCTCTCTCGCTCTCTTGTGATAAACGTGTGTGCGTTCCGGGTGAGGGGATGGTTTATGACAGACAGGTATGATGGATGGACTCAGGATTGACCGCCATGTGGCACGAGTTGGAATGGTTGACTGGCATGGCAGATGGACTCAGAATCGACCGTGATGCGCCATGAGATGGGATGGTTGATAGGTATAAGGATCGACTGCCATGTGGTGTGAGCTGGGGTGGTTGATTTGGTAGGATGGTAAGTGGACTGAGAATTGGATGTCAATTGGGAACGGATTGAGATCGACAATATGCAAGGTAACAGTAGGGCTTATGCACAGCAGTTGGATGGACTGGGTTACAATCAAAACAGGAAAGTTGGGAGTTAGGCGGAATGAAAAATTCCGGAAGTGCCATGTATGAATTGACACTAGAAAAAAGAGAAGGGAAATCATGACCAGACTGCTTGCGCGGTACTTATCCTTTGCAGATGTCACATCTGAAATCATTTTACCAGGTGCGTAATTAGAGGATGCGTCCCGAAGAAGCTGCTTGTGTACGGATCCCAGTTTGCTCACGAGTTCTTAGCGAGCAAAGGCTTTGGGTGGTCTTTCGACAAGGAGCCAAGTCACGATTGGGTGACGTTAATCGATAACAAGAACAAGGAGATCCAGAGATTGACTGGGGTGTACAGGAAGTTACTGGATGGATCGAAAGTTGATCTTCTTGAGGGCCGCGCAAAGGTCAGGGATAGAACCCAACCCATTTCATTCATTTGTGGCATTGCCTATATTCGCTTCTCTCTCTCTCTCTCTCTCTCTTGCCACTACTCTTGGATGCAGTCCCTCATTCTCTTTCTCTCCTGTCTCACTTCTCCTCTTGTGCCTTCTCGACACCACTGGTTTTGTAAGTTCAATGAGAATAATAGTCTTATGGTGGAATTGTGGTGCTGGAAACCCTACTTCCCCCAATCTCCCTCTGTCCATTCTGTGGTGGTCTTTCGTGTTTGTTTTCCTCTTTTGCGTACCTCGTGCTCATGAACAGATATTACCGGAACTGGAGTATTGGGAGAAGCATTTAGATTATGGTCGGCCTTGCTCCCGCTGAGCAAAGTTAAGTGGTTGAGTTTGGGACTCTTGGCTGGTCTCAACTGTTACACTTGGACTGGTGTATGCACTCTCCCTCTGTCTCTTATGATGGGGTGTGAAGCTACAGTCTATACAATCTCCCATCCATCTAGGTGAGTGATAGTCTGCTTTGATTTTCGTCACCGTACCTTGAGGGCAGTGGTTGGTGGTCCCCACCTCAGGGTGTCAGTCCTGGGGCAGTGGCCGGTGTCCAACTGAAACTGGGGTTAAGCCACCAGTACTTTTCCCAGCCATTTGTTTCAACGCGGCATGTTGTTGAGGCTCGGCCTACCGGACAAAAAATGGCTAGCGTATCGGTGTGCAGCGCAACTCAGTATCGAGAAAAAGAGGCTTGGAATTAGTGGGGGTTTAAGGTGGGTGGTCACTTACAGTATCGTCAGTTAGGGGAGTCTCCAGAGTGTAGATCGTTAAGCCTTCTGATGAGTCGGTGAAACTCCGACGAAACAAACACCCTTTCACGGCCCAATGCTTCTCGTCCTTTTCTTCCTTTTTTTTTTTTCTTTTTTTTTTCCTTTTTCTGCACTTCTGCTTATGGTTCACCGGGCAGTTGTATTATGTACGCAGTATTGGATGATGATTAAAATTTAAAATACATACATATTCAAAGGGAAAGGAAAATAAAATTGTTTGACTTTATGGTGTATATATGGTGTAGGCTGCTGGAGTTTCTACAATTTCGAATACCTGAGAAAACTCTCCCCCATAGATTATCCTTCATTTTTCTGTGAAAACTGCTTAGTGATGTCAAGATGCGCTACGTTTACTTCTCGATATCATATGCACCCTGCTTCACGACTTGGGAAAAAAACATCTTTTCCAAAACCGAGCTGTGCTGCAATGTGGGAGCATGTGCTTCTTCCTTTCTGAATATTTACGAGATTTTTGGTATGTAGCTCAGTTGGTACACCCATGAACTTTTGAAATACAGACCTGACTTCGAATCCACATGATGGAACTAAATTGATGAACTTCTGAATTACCTGTGCCGAGGATTTTCATCCTCGGCAGGCTCATAGGGGGCCCCGCTGCAAGCAATGTGCCAGCCCGAAGTGAAGGCGGGCCTGCTAGGGAGAAATGTTGAGGTTGGGAGGGGGGACCTCATAAGCTCATTATTCTATGTGAAAAACGAAATGAAAAGAGAGGAAAAGACGTCGTCAAAGGCATGCAGGACATCCTTGTTGGCAAAAGGGGATTGGTAAAGAAAAGTGAACAACAAACCAGCGGAAGGCTTGTTGTTCGTCTCGTCAACGGGGTGTGATTTCCTCTGGCATCCGGATACTGCTGTTTTGAGCTTTGCTCTTAAACTACCAGTACATCCAGCTATCGGCTGCGTGCCCTTTTCGGAGGTCGCCCGCCGTCAATATCTACGGTGCTGGGCCTCCGAAAATTTCGTAGGCGACGAGTTTTCTTTCAGCAAGGCTGGTGCAATGAGCCTCTTAGTTCAACACCATTGAGCACACATGATCTCCACATGCATGTATGAGATCACACGAGGGTCACACTGAAAAACCAGAGAGATTAAGACCAGTTGACGCAGCTTATGAATTCCAACAAGTTATACAAGAGCAATAAGAGTTCCGAGTCACCAGTGCACAAAAGCGCATATCATAGGTAACCAAACATCCAACATGATCACCCAGGTAAGTATCTTCTTCCTCGCTGCTCTTCTCTCTCTGTTGCATCACCCCTCCTTGCTGGTCTTCTCCCTAGCTTATGACCTCGTTGAATCTTCTCTCCCTACATGCATGCACACTCACACTAACTTCTACTCAAAGATCTACTCTGAATAAACCTATTGACAACTCTACTAATCCCTTTGAAGTCTACTACTAACTGCTAGTACTGACACTTCTGCACTGGCGCAGCCATGGCTGCCTTCTCCCTGCCAGCACTAACTTCCTCTCTCTTCCTCACAAAGCGCGGCACTCTGGCCTCAACGCTCTGCTCCTCACTTCAGCGCACTTCCACATCTTGCAAATGAGCAATCTGCCCGAATTTGAGGCTGGCCAGTCCTTTTTGTAGTCTTGGTTTGCACTTCAACTCGTGCCAGCCTTTGTTTCTTGGGTCCTGTCTGGTTCCGGTACCACATCCCCACAGCCTGTCTGCTAGTGAATGTCAAGGCCTTGAACCTTCCCGAATTTCCATTGGAATGCTGCTGCTTGGGCCTTTGAGTCGTGACTTTTCACTTATGAACATGACTTTTGACTGTGGACAGTGTCTCTTGCCTGTGGGTCATGACTTTTGCCTGTGATACTACCTTTTACTCGTGGGATGTGTCTCTTCAATATGACTTTTCATTAGGAAACGTGACTCCTGTCTTGAGACATGACTCTTGCTTGGTGAATCTGCCTTTTCACTCGTGGAATGTGACTCTTCTGAATGGCTTTTATTATGAGACGCGACTCTTGTCCCTGAGACGTGACTGTTTGCTGGGTGCCTGTTGGACCAGACTGCTGAGGTACCCGATTGTGACTTTTCTGAGTTTGACGAACTCGGCCTTTCCTTTACCTAGGCATCTGACCCTGAGGTCCGAATTTGGGGTCTGAATCGTGGAAGGCCTTTCATTGGGGCCGTGTACTGGCGGTTTAATTTCAGAACCTCTATTGCCTCGAGCCTTCCTTATCGCCCTGTGAGTGTATGTATGGGAGGTCGAACCAAAAACACTTGGTTCAAACCTGAATCCCAATGGAGTCAGATGATTAATAGGACTCTGAATTTATGTGGGGATGGTCAGTTCAAAGATGATATTCTCATGTGCAGATGCAGCTCCCCGCGCCTTGGGGTGGAAGGACACGTTGTCGCACTTTTTTTAGTCAGGTCACTTCGGGCGACCAGAAAGCCAACAGGCTGTCACGCAGGGTTTGGTTGATGATTGCAATAAATAAAATAAATTAAATAAAGCAAATCCTTTCCTGTTGTGTGCGTCCGGCTTCGAGGGAGACCCTTCAATTGCGGTCTTCGCCGGTCATCGGTCTTAGGAATCTTTTATTTTGATTCGGAACAACAAGAATCATGCAAATATTTATCACAAAATTTTAGTATGTCATGCATGCATAAATTTTGCCAACTTTCTAATTTTGAGAACTGTGACAGGATTATCAGAGAACATAATCATCAAGCAATGCAACGTGGATGATGCAAGACTGACTGACTCAAGTAATGATGGGGATAAATGAGGGAAGAATGAGAACTCGTAATAAACTCAGGAAAGTACAGATGAATAGACATGGCTAGCAGTAGTTAAGAGTCCTCACTCATCCCTCAATGTCTCATTTGACTGTGCGTCTCTTGTGCCTCGAACAATGCCTATGTACCTCCTGAGATTGTGGCCTTTGAATGTAGAGCCACCTGAAGCCTGCAAGTTCTGAACACTTCCATCCAAGACTCATGACACGGAAGTAAACCATAGCACAAACCTCCTCCCACAAAGTAGAAAGGTAGGGCCTAGAGAAAATCCGTTGTCTAAGATGTCTGAACTCTGAAGGCTCGGTAACTGCCTCGTAGTCAACCTCTGCAGGCGAGGTCGACCAAGTCACCCCAACAAGAGCCATCTGTGAGAGCGAAAGGTACTGGAGGCTTGGGATAGTCAGAGTAAAGCTGCGAATCAACTTTTTTCCGTTCTCATCAAGCTCTTTCTCTTTCTCTTCAAGGTATCCGATTGCTGAAATCCAGATTGAGTCAAAGCATTCACGAGTGTCCTTGCCTTTTTTCACGTAGGACCTTAGGTCGTGGATAGTGCCTTCTGCGAAACTCGTGAGAACAATAAAGATGGACAAATCTTCTTGTCTAAAATCGACCGCGCTGACATACTGGTACCGAAAAGCATCCTTAAATGCTATCTGATTGAGATTGGCCAAAACCGACTCTGCGACTGGAAAGGATTGAACTGTACTCATATGCTGTGGTGGATATTGGGGCCGATCTCTGGTATGAAATGAGAAAATAACCCTGTGCTGATTGTTTCTGACTTGAAATCTCGAGTGACCCAAATGAACGAGTGTTGCTTGGGTGATGATTGAATGCTGATTCAATTTTGCTGAGACTTTGTGACAACTCGGGTGACTGAGTGTTAGTGCTGAGGGAACTGCTGGTTACCTGGCGATAAAAGCTGAGAGGGAAATCTGTGTATCTTTGCGCTCACCTGAGCCTTGTCTTAGCCTGCTCCACCGTTTCTAGCAATGAGCCGGTGCTATGCAACTTGCCACTATGGTCATAAAAATAAGACACATATTCAATGTATTTTTTTCGTTTGCCATCGCAACGGCAAGTTCTCTCCGAATCTGTATATGAGATTCCATGTCCGGACAAACACTCCCACCTGTCCTTCTTATCTCTGATAGAACTGTACTTCATCACCAGGATATGCACATCTTTCATCGTTTTGTTCCGTCTTCGTGACTCAGATTCAGATAGGACGTTTAAAGAAAAGGATAATACAATTACTGGTCTCGTCGGCTCGAGTGAAGGGGGTAATATTTATGTATTGAGGAGGTTACTGCGTTTAGCTTGAGGGCCCTTGCAGAGGCCAACCTGAACGCTGTTGATCAGAGCAATCAGTAACCATAGAGTTGAGGAGAACTTGGAGGGGAGTTTTC